CGAGCTCTGATCCAACCCGCCCTGCCCTGCGGCCTCTGGAGAAAGGTGACTCCGTGTCCTGCTGGGCCGGCGCTTCATCAGCCTCAGTGCTGGGAAATCGCGCCTCTGCAAGGCTCCGTTTGTCTCCAGCCCCAGCTGCCCAGCGGATCACCTCTCCATCCCCAAAAACCCACCAAAACCACCTCCCCCAGTCTGCAGGTGGGCGATTTGGTCATAAATTCATAGTAATAAGAGCATTCATATAACAACTCAACAGTCATTATTAACAATTCGTTACCGATGACAGTAATCACAGTGAGGACGTTTCGTTGCCTTTGTCTCCAGGCTTTGTCGGACCAGCAGCGCCCGCCTGGGCCCCTCACAGCCCTGCAGCACAGCCCGCACTGAGCGCTGCAGCCACCAGCTGTGCTCCCTGCCAGCACCGCCGCTCGTGCAGCCCGCGCGTGCCGCCCCAACCCGTCCCCGTGCAGAACGCCCACGAAGTTGCACTCGTGGAGATCCTCCATTTTCGCTGCTTCCCCATCTTTTCCAATTCACAATTTGCTTTTTCTCCTCTTCGATTCTTTTTCCGTTTTGCCTTTTATTTTATTTGGTTGCGGGGGCTCACGGAAGGAGCAGCAGAAATAAACCGCGGGTCAAGCAGCGCTCGGTGAAGCACCGCCTATAGCACCGCATACGGGCTTCCACCCAGCCGAGCACGGGGCTCCTCCCGAGGAACTCTCGGGCGCTGACACGAAGCCACCCGCGGGCGCGCACTGCGGTGGGCCGGTGAGCGTCACGGGGCGCCGCGAGCGCTGCTCCACCGGCACCGAACCCGGACTCGGCACCGCCCGCACCCGCACGGCTCGCGGCAGCCTGACGGCGCTGGAAGGCCTCGAGCCGCCCCTTCCTTCAGCCAATGGGAAGCGCGGAGTGCGCGGCGGGCGGTGCCGATCGGGCGGAAGCGGCGCGGTTGCCAGGCAGAAGGCGCGGAGGCATGGCGGGAACGGCGCTGGGCGCCGGGCCGGGCGTGCTGCTGCTGGCGGGGCTGTGGGCGCTGGCGCTGCTGCTCTGCCTGCTGCTCGCTCGCGCCTCGGGGGCCGCGCGGTAAGGGGGGCGGCGCGCGGCGGGGCTGCGGGCGGTCGCGCGGTGGTGGCGCGGTGCCGCTGAGGCCTCGCGCCGCTCCGCTCGCAGGCTGGCCGCGCTGCTCGTGCCGCTGTGCGCCGCGCTGCTGAGCGCCGCGCTGCTGCTGTACCCGCGGGAGGACGGCGGTGCGGGGCCGCCCGCGGGCCCCCAGGTGAGCTCCCCCCCCTCCGCCCTCGGGCGGTTCTTAGCGATTTTCCCCTCCCGTTCCTCCGCCCTTCGCTCTCCAGGCTCCCCCGCGCTCTGCTTCAAGGTGCGTTTCGTTCCGGACTGATGTAAATCAGTTGTTGCTCGTGGTGCCGATCAGTGCCACAGATCCTTATGGTTTCTTCTTCTTTCTGCCACGGGTGAAACCAGCGCACATAAAGGCAGGGCACCGCTGTTCCCGTCGGCCGGCCCCGATGGCCGGCTTGTATTCTTGGTCCCCCGGTCGGGCAGGACTTCCCCCGTCCATACATAATGCATGACCTGGGCTCTTTGCATGAAGCCCTGCTAATTGGCTAATTAAAAAGTGAAACGCGCAGAAAGAGCCACCGCGGCAGCCACAGGAGACCCTCACTGCAGCATCCTGGGGCTGTGTGTGCCAGTGCCTTCAGCTCAATGGAGTCGGGGACACGCAGCCTTGGGGCAGCCCCAAAACCGAGGGGCTGATGCTGGAAGCAGCCTTCTTGCCTTCTTGCCTTCTTTTGAATCTGTTTTTTTGCACGTGAAGATTTTGTGACCCAGGATGATGTAGTGGAGCCCCAGAAGCTTCCTGGTTCTCCCTTTTCTCTCCCAGCCACAAAGGGTGCAGGCTGTAATGGTGTGCTCTGCCCGCAGATCGTGGACACCTTCCTGGTGGGCCGCCTGGTGCTGCTGGCCTTCATGGCCCTGCTGCTGCTGGGCTGCGTGCTGCTGCTGGGGATGCACCTCCTGGAGCCGATCCACGCCAAGGCGCTGCGCTGCTGGAGGTGAGGCTGTGCCACGGAGCCGTTCTGCAGGGATTCCGGTGGATCCCCTTCTGCCCATCAGCAGAAATGGGACGAGCGGAGATGGAGCACTGACTGGTTGGTGGCTCAGTGAACCGGGGGGCCTCTTCCAGCCGATTCTGTTATCCCTCTGAGCCCACCTGTCTCAGGCTGAGCCTGAGGCCTCGGTTGGTTTGAGTTAATACTTTATCTCCTTTTTCTGTCATTTTTTTATTGTTCAAGGGAACGGAGGGAGGGTGGTTTCTTCACTTTGTTTTATTTCAGCAGCACGGAGGGAAGGTCCCCGAGAAGTGGATCCCATTTTCGTGGCAGTAAACCGGGTGACCGAGTTGGGGCGTTGATTTTTTTACTGAATCAATATTCACAAATTGTTGGGTTTTTTAAATTCTTTTTTAACATTAATAAAACTTTTGGAGGAAGTCCTGGCCCAGTCTTTATCTATTTTCTAGGAATAGGAGTTCTGCAGCACTTTGGTGGTACTGAAAGCTGGCCTTTCTGTGCTTCTTGTGAGGCTCCTCCTTTCCAGGTGTGGGGGGTTGGGACGCTCCCTGTGCTCTGCTCCCAGTTATGCAACACCAGCATTTGCTCTCTGGGAGATTCTGAAGTTGAGCCTGAAACAGAATTTGTATTTGATTCTTCATCTTAATAGCAGTGACAGCAGTGAGCAGTTCCCAAAGCCTCACTGCTGGTGCCGCGTCTCACAAATAGGGAAGCTGTGGCAATGCAGCTGAAGTGCTAAAAAAAAGCCCTAAAAGCAGAAGTGTGAGGCTTCTCCCTGGAAATACACCCAGAATGTTTGCTTTGTGCTCCCCTTAGTGCCCCTGGAGGGCACTCGGGGGGACCATTAAGACAGACCCCATCCTTGCCCTGTGCCCCTCTGGGGGGTGCTCCGATGGCCGTGGGTGCTCTGCAGTGCCATTCATGCTGGGTGTAGCACTGCAGCTCTGCTCCCTCCACACAGGGCCTTTCCAGACAGTTCCTGTTTATTTTTGGGGAAGGAAGGAAGGAATCACTGTGAGCCAGAGCTGCTTTCCAGGCTTTTGCTGCTGTCTCCCCCCCAAACCAAAAATGATCGTTGTAGTGGTCTTTTCCATCCCTTACAATTCTATGATCCTCCGTTGCTGGTCAGATGCTGGGATTCAGGGAGATGTCATCACCCACTATTTTCCTGCTGCCTGCTCTCCTCCTGCAGGTGATCCACATCCCATCCGGGAGGATCGTGCTAAATCCCAGCAAGAGAACCCCCACATCAGGAGTGCTGTGAGCGGCAGCAGCGGGCTGAAAGCTGCTCATGGGCTGCTGGGACGACAGCCTTCCTTGCACCAAGCTCTGCCTGCTCATTAGGAAGGAGCGGGGCTGCTCAGCTGCTGGGATTCTGGTGCCCAGCGCAGGAGAATCTCCTGCTCCTGATTTAAGGTCTATGAGTGACGGCAATTCCTCACGCCGCGTGCCGCGCTCTGCTGGCGTTTAATTACTCTCTCTGGCACAGAACTGGCCTCTGATTTCCACCTTGACTTTGCTGACTTCAGCTTCCCGCTGTTGAGGCCCGCTTTGCCTTTGGCTGCTAATTAAAAAGCCCTTCAGCGCCCGCCAGCTGCTCCTTGCGCGGGTAATTACGGCCCGTGCCCGAACCACCTCCTCACCCCTGCAGAGCCAGCACTGCTCCAAAGGCAGCTCGGCCCTTCCTGGCACGGCTCAGAGAGCAGCACTGCAGGTCGCGGATGGATGAGCGCACAGGGGCGGCTGCTAGAGGGGAATGCGGTGCTGCCCCTCACAGCTTTGTGTGCCCTAAAATCCCAGTTTTCCCAAGCAGAGGAGCATGAGCTTTTTAGTGCCCGGGTGCTGTGATCGACCCAGGGATGCAGCCCTCCCGTTGGTCTCTGAAGTCCCAGCGTGATGTCTGATTCCTGGCACTGGGCTCCAGTGCTCCCAGCACTGCAGCCAGGGCTGCTCACATTTTCCAAGCCCAGCTGCAGCAGAACGCAGCTTCAGTTCATCCTGGAAAAACTGTGAGCTGAGGCAACAAAGGGCAGAAGGTGGAAAAAAAAAAAAAAAGGAAGAAATGAAAAAAGCCTGTGGTTTTGCAACAAGCCCCTGTGTGTGTGTGTCACATCTGTGGGATTTTTGCTTTAGGTGTGTATTTCAGCCTTCCCCATCCTCCCATTGCGATTAAGGCTAAGCTCAGTTTCACATGTACCCAGAGTTGGACTCAGTGATCCTTCAACTCAGGATATTCTGTGATTCTGACTGTTCTCAGCCCATCTTGGTGATATTGTGCTGGCAAACTGGGAATTTGCTTCTCTCTCTTTCCTCCCTGGTTTGCTGGGTGCACAGCAGAGGCCATTGCTTTCCAAATCCATCCATCACTGCGCAGGGACACGCTGCATGTTGCTCCACTGCCCCACAGGGCCTTGTTTTTCTTCTTTTCTCCCCTCTTTTCCTCTCCAGCGATGAAATCAGCGCATAATAAAACACGGGGCCCAGATGTGTTCTCTTTGGGCCAGGATCCACGCGCCCCAATCCACGCCACCCCTCATACTGAGCCCCCCCAAACACACAGCTGGCTGCACAGCTGGCATCACACTAATTAGGTGGCCCTCCTGTTCCACTTCTCTAATTAGGAGATGGCTAACGAAGGCAGGCAGCCTCCTGCACTGAAACTAGAGCACGCATGCTGATGCGCCCATCGGGACCTGTCTCCTGTCCTGATGCTGAGCGGTACAGCGGGGCAGAGCGGGGTGAACGGAGCCACGAGGAGCAGCAGCGTCTGCACTGCAGCTCACGGGGAAGGGATGGCGCTGCTGCCGCTGCAGTGATGGTCTGACGTCCCACAGCACTGCGTGCAGGGCAGGGTGAGCCCGCAGCAGGGGAGCTCGCAGCACCCGGACAGACGTGGGCAGCGCAGGCTTTGCACCTTTTTATTAATAAAACAGCCGATGGCGCAGAACTGGCCCCAACACTGTCCGCTGCTGCTGGCCGCCTCCTCCTCCCACCGAGACAAAATGGTGGCGGGACAGGCCCGGGGCTGGCGCGGTGGCACGGTGACATGGCGGCGCGGTGGCCGCGTGCCTTCACCCTTCGGCAGCGCGGGACGGCTGGCGAGGGCGCGTCAGAACCGCTTGAACCTGCGGGGACAGAGCGAGGGCTGAGCCGCGGGAACGGAGGGAGGGAAAAGCAGCTCCCGGGCTCCGGCCGCGGGGAGAGGAAAGTGCGAGGGGAAGATCCGCCACCGCCGCACCTCCAGGCAGAGCGGGAGCGGCCCGAAGCCCCGCAGCGTTCCCCAGAGGCGCCGCCCGCAGCGCAGTGCAGACAGCACAGAAGCGGCAGTGGGGCCGCAGCTCCGGCCGCACTTACCGCCAGGAGGACCGACGCTGCTCCTCACCTGCGGGCACAAGATGGAGGAGCTCGTGTTGGGCTGCACAGCACGGCTCACCGTGGCGTTTGGCCGGTGCTGATTTGGAAATGATTTAGGTGCACCCTCCCCACAGCAATCTGGCCGTGAGCTGATTAGCAGCATCATCTACTCATTAGCACAGGTGGGCAGCCTCTAAATTTGGCTGTGTGGAGTTAATCAGTACTGTGCGTCCCAAGGCATTGGAGATGGGGATGTGCTGAGTGCCTGCCTGCAGCACGCCCTCTCGCTGGGGTTGGGTCCTTTGGCTTGGCCATGGAATTATTTGCAATCATAGAATCACAGAATGGTTTGCGTTGGAAGGGACCTTTAAAGGCCGTCTGGTCCAACTCCCCAGCGAGCAGGGACACCTCCAGCTGGAGTGTGGCTGCCAGTGACACGCCAAGCACTGGGGCTGATCAGTGTTTGCATTCAGTGCTGGTGCTGAAGCGGGTGCAGCCGGAGGTACTCACACCGAGCTACTTCCCATCCAGCACTGACTCTGTGAGCTGCACACTAGAGCTACAAGACACAACGATGGTGCTCAGCACTGCGATCCCTCGGCCATGTCCCACAAACATCCCCATGCCACACTGGACATACCCTCTCGTCCTCGCCATGCAGCCATAGCATGCGCGCACCTCTTTGACCACCACACGAGCAAGGAGCTGCAAGAGGAAAGGTGGGAGCTTTGTCATTGCTAGGAGATGCGTTTTGGGGGTTTTCCTGGGGAATGCTGTGTTTGTGGGGCTGAACCTTCAGGCTGTGGAACCTCCATGGAGAGACCTACCAGGCAAGCCAAGACATCAGCTGCTATCAGCATGTAGAATACATTATTCCAGCCGGTGGGGGAGATAAGCCCTGCCAGGAGAGGCCCCAGAGCAGCACCTGCAGGGAACACAAGAGGTGTTAGGATATGGGAATAGGGGAGCAAGGCATTCCAGCCCCACAGCACCAGAACATCCAGCAGCCCCAGCCGTACAGACCTATGGATCCCGTGCCGTCGATGATGGCTGTGACGGTGGAGAGAGCTCTTGCGTTTCCTTTGAGGGACTCATGGGTTCCCTGTGGGAAGAGAGGAGAGAGGAGGAAGAACAGCCTAAGCACCACACATGCTGGCAATTTCCATGTGTCAGATGGGAAGACTGAGCATATGCAGGGATGTGGCATTCTTGTGACTCGTGAGCAAATTCTCCCACTAGGTACAGGCTTAGGGGAGATGCAAGGGAACAGAAAGAGGAGTCACACAGCTGGGAACTGAGGAAGCAGTAGGAAGAAAGCACAGTGTGACCATCCTGCTTTTCTGGACAGGAGTGGGAACACAGCTAAAAATGCACACAGCCCCGTGACTCTCACCAAATCTGCTGACACTGCCGTGGTGATGAGTGCATAGGGGCCGTTCACCAGCGCACCGCAGACGATCAGCATTGCTGCAAGGAAAAAGACGGCCTGGGGTCAGCCCAGAGCCAGGATGTGGTGGAGAGGCAGAAGCTGAATGCTCCCAGGAGCTGCGGGATGTGGGAGCATCATCCCAGTGAGTCCTGCTCTGTGTGCATTGCATTCAACAGCTCATGTTTTCCCCAGCCAAGCCCACTGGTTTGGTAATGAAAAAAACATCCAGGGTCTCCTTCCCAAAATAAAGCCAGGAGGGTGCCCTAAGCCCCAGCTTGAGGGGAGAAATGCAGTCAGGAGAGTGAGTGGAACTTCTCGCACTGCCCACCAGTGTTGGAATCACTGCACCCAGTTGCTCCCTACCTATAGACGTGCCAATGCCATTCTGTCCAATGTAGTTGTACAGGAACAGCTGGAAGACAGACAAAGCACAAACCCATCCTCAGTATCCCACTTTCCTTGGAAATTTCACAGCATCATTACCCTAGGTGCAGGATGGGAGCCCCTTGGGGACCCAAATCATCACTGCATTGAGCTTGAAGCCCCTTTCAAGTGGGCTGGGAAGTGGTGAGCACAGGCTTGGCCTTGTGTCCCAACAGACTGAATGCCAGACAGACAGGTTGTAGCAATTTATGGCACAGCATTGCTCGCCAGGCACCGATTTGCCCCAGCAGTGCTATTGTGGCTGTTGGATGTGGCCATGGTGCACGTGGTTCCAGAAGGGCTTCAGAAGGGCTGTGGGAAGAAGGCTCACAGCTGCAAGTCAGCATGGATTGGGTTACAGCTAATGAGCTGTGTTTCATGGTGGCAAAGCCAGGTGAGCTACACGCAGGTGCTTGGGCTCTCAGCTTTCAGGGTGCAAAGCAAAGGGATGAAAGCTGGACTGGCTCAGTGAGACCCCAAGGTTTCACCGCAGTATTGCCCAGGCTTTAAAACAGAGTGGGATGGAGAACAAAGATCCCTTTGGTGTCTTTTTTTTTTTTTTTACCATGGGAGCAGCCACCACCAGCATCACGCAGCACGTGGTGGCCCGGCCACCAGTGTAGTCAGAAATGAGGCCAGCAAAGATCCCGCCTGCAATAAAGGAAACACATCAGTCCCAAGGGCAAAGCAGTGCCACGCTGGGTTAGCCCCAAATTAAGTGGTTCACTGCACTGGGATGCTCTTTTGTCCCATCTTCTGAGCGAGATGCCCCCGAAGTTAAATATCTTAAAGACTGAACATCCAAGTTCAGTATGTTTGCATCAGAGAAGGGCTGTCATTTATCCGTGAGCTGGCTGCCTGCGCATGGTTTCTCTGCACCCACGGACAACTCTCCACTACAAAACATATTTTCTCTAAGGGAAAGGTGAGCCTGGGTGAGAGAGACCCAGGATTGTCCCCAAGGATTGATCCAAGCTTGCACCCAGGCGCACCACAAACCTAAAATACCGCCAACATCAAAGAGGGTGGACAGGTCTCCAGCTTCCTTGGCACCAAAATGAGCTGCAGGAAGAGGAGCGGGGTGAGAAGCCAGGTGAGGAGGGGCTGAATCTACCCTGCTCTGCTCTGCCATCTCCAAAAGCTCACCAACATTCACGATGTAAAGTGGCAGCCAGTAGAGGAAGGTGTAGCTCACCAGCTTGGCAAAGAGTAGGCAAAGGGAGAACTCCACTACACCCTGTGAGGAGAGAAGACGGCATCAGGAGCACATTTTTCCACTAATTTTATTGCCAGGGCCGTATGGAGGAAGGGACTCACGGGGATCCAGAGCGCCCCGAGGAAGCTGATGGCTTCAAGCTCCTCAGCCAGCTTTTTGGAGTCAGTGCTGCTGCAGTCCTCAGAGGTCACCCCTTCGGGATCCTTCTCATCTGATGCATCCTAAAAGCAAGTAGATGTGGGGCTGAACCTTAAGGTTTGCTGAAATGATAAAGTTTGCTGCTGGGATGTGAGGACTTGTGTTGAGAACTGGCCCATAGGATGCCTGCACCAATGCAGTAAGCATCCCAACAGCCAGGCATCATTCAGATTTCTGACAGCACCGAGGCATTTACAAGCTAGTTGATCCCTGGCACTGTGTGGCTGCAGGCTCCCCACCCACCCACCCCAGGCACAGCGATGGAACTCACGTGTTGCTGGGGGGGGGCTGCAGCCAACGTCCTCAGGACCTGTGGGAGGAAAAGGCACCCCTGAGAGCACTGCCTTGCAGGGGCCACGTCCCTGGCAGTGAAACATCCCCACAAAAACCCACAAGACCTCCCAAAATGTTTCTGAGCAAAGCTAACTACAAGAAGACAATGCATCAGGGAGGCCAGGGTGTGATCCCAAAGGATGCTGAGCATTCCTGTGGTGCTCGGTCTGCTCCCGGCACTGAGGACACATCCCTGCTTGCCTCCAAAATGAAATTGCTTTTGGGGGTCATCAAAACCGCTTGGAAATGAGCAAAGAGAAAATCTATGCTGGGTATTCGCATCACCACTCACGCTCCACAAGGAAGAAGAAGCAGACAATGCCTATGACAGCGATGATTATGCCGGGCACGATGAAGGACAAGCCCCAGTCAGAGGACACCCAGACGCCCGCGATGAGAGAGCCCAGGATATTGCCCACGGAGGTGTGTGAGTTCCAGATGCCCATGATCAGACCCCTCCTGTTGGGCAAGACAGTGGGATGAGCATCGGCTGTGAGCAGGAGGCACGGGGACAGGGACGCGCACTCACTTCCCCTTCCCAAACCAGTTCCCGACGCATGCCACGACTGCGGGCCAGCCGGTCGTCTGTGCCAGCCCATTGCACACCTGGCAGGGAGAGAGCAAACACCCAAACGTGGGTATTTTTCCCAGCAGGAGGAAGCAGAGCAACATCCCAGAGCGTGATCTGGGAGCACCTGCCAAACTGGGCGGGCGGTATCGGCGCCCACACTGAGCGGGGAGGAAACGCCAAAACTGAGATGAGGTCAGGCCACACCTGCACAACAATGAAGTACCACAGGACGTGGATGTTCCAGAAGTAGCCAAAGCCAAAGAGTGCTGTGAAGATCCCACTCAGCACCATGCCCACTGACAGGTAGTACCGCAGCGGCAGCCGCTCCCCAAAAATGCCACTGTGGAGAGAGCATGGGAAACTGAGCAGTGGTGCCAAACGGGGAGCAGGGGCTGAGGTGGGGAACATGAGCACAGCCCCTGTACCTGATGAACATCCCGATGGCATACGCCACAAGGAAGGCATTGTCCAGAGCACCAAAAAGCTCATTGTAGTTGTCCTGATCTGGAGAAGAGAAAGCATTAGGGCTGCGGCTGCATCCTCATCCCCATCCCCACCTCACAGATCCTCCCAGGTCAGGCTGTAGGGCTGGGAGCTGGGAGCCAGACCACCCTGTCCTGATTTCAGCATTCACTGTCCTTTGGTCTGGGGCACAGGGCACAATCCTGCACCACTTAATCACCTCCAGCCTAATGAGTGCTGGTCCCCTCCCTGCCCAGCTTAACCCATTAATGACTGAAAGTGCCTTCAGGCACAGAGCTGAGATTTGGGTGCGTTTGGGGTGCTGGGTACCAGCCTTACCGAAGGGCGCCCAGCTGCACCATGTGGTGCTGTTGGAGTCGTTGTGGGGGTTGGTGCCCAGTGCCGAACAGTTGAGGTGCAGCTGGCTCTGGGAGGGTGCACAGAGCAAATGGGATGAGTGCAGTCCAGGGAGGTCCTCAGGGATCCTCCCAGGATACGGGAGATGGGATGTGGGTATGGGGTGCTGTGTCGCTCACCTTGACGATGCTGATGGGTTTTCGGGAGAGGTGGTAGCTGGTGTAGGAGAGGAAGGTCAGCACTAGCGTCAGTCCACGGTAGCTGCAGGACAGGGGAGTCAGGGATAGGGGAAAAAACCCAGTTACCACCTCAAAAAATTCCATTCTTCAGTATGAGATCAGGAGGATGAGAGTCAGCAGGACATAGGATGGATCCTTGCAGGGAGTGGTTGCAATATTTGTAGGCATACTACTCTTAGCCTGTGATGGAGAGCTGAGCACCTTCCTTTGAAAAGCATGGAAAAGGGGAAAAGTGGGGCCATTTTCTCTCAGTTCTCCCCCTGAATACTCCTGGTTCCTATGAGGATGGTGGAGGACTTTCTACTAGGTGGATCAGCTCCAGATAGGCATTTCCCCAGGCCGTGCAGTGCCCTGAGGTTGGGGTTGTAATTGGGATAAAAGATAAGAGTGGGATTATTGCTAACGGAGTGATTGGCTGGGCTGGGGCTTCTCTGGCCTTGCAGCCCCACGTCACGCAGGGCCACGGGTGGAAGCGTGGTGGAGTCACAGCACCGCCAGCACTCAGCACTCATTTCCGAGCTGGGAAATGGAAAGGGAGGGGGGCTGCACGCTTTGTTCCCTCCTGTTTGCTCCAATTAAATGTGGGAAACTGGGAAAAATGGGGAGAGGTGTCTCCAGAGGATGCTGCTCTGAGCAGAGCTGAAGAAGAGCACCTGGAAGATCCCAACCCAAAGAGTGGGACTCTGCATCCTGATAAAAAAAAAAACAAAACCAAACGCAACAAAAACAATGGAAAGCCATTTTATAAGACCTTAAGTCAGCACATTTTCACTTCTTCCCACAGCATGGTGTCAGAACACCCAGGGGCCCCACACGGCCAAGGCACAGTTCTGTTTTGGGGGTGGGGGTGGCTGGGGCCCTAACGTGGTGTAGAAATCACTGTTTCCCACTCCGAATAAATAATTTTATAATGAAATCACTGCTGAGCACTGCAGGGCATTGTGAGTTAGAAAGAGGAACAGAAACGTCCCGTGTGAGTCCCGAGCCCAAGGGACAAACTGGGGGGTGGAAAAGACGGCAGCAGAGCAGGGCAAGCAGAGCGGAAGCAGGCGGCAACCGGGCTGTTCGGCCGCGGCTGCAGAGCGATCTGCTCCATTAACCCGGCGCAGACTCGGCACCTCATCCCGCAGGACAGGACAGACGGGATGCCTGCAGAAGCGTCCAACCCAGGCTCTGCGTGTCCCGAGGGGGAACCCGGTATCCCTAACTGCTCCCAGGGGCGCGCTCAGGGGCTCCCCCAGCACCACGCATCCTCTGCCTGGAGCAGCCCTGCGAGGCTGAGCCTCGGGGCACCCAGCAGCATTTTCCCAGCGCCCAAGAGCCGCACCGGCCCCTCTGCCCACCACTGCCCGAGGCCGGGGAGGCACGCAGCCCATACGGACAACACGGCAGGAGCGAGGTGCGAGGGCGGCAGCTCCATCCTGCCACGTGCCGCATCCCCGTGCAGCGGAGCGCAGCACTCCCCACGTCCCCCCGCTGCCCATCCCGCGTCCCCGCCGGGTCCTCCCTCACCGGCTGTCCCGGGGCACGGCACGCAGCAGGCGGATACCGGGAGCGAGCGCTGCCCTCATGGCGAGCGGCGGGCCGCGCCCCGCTCCCGCTCCCGGCCCTTTACTGCCCCGGGGCCGCCGCTCCCCGCCCGGCACCGCCCAGGGACCGCCCCGAGCCCACACTGCCCGCCCCAGCGGGGGGGATGGGGAGAAAAAAAACCTAAACAGGTGATGGAAGGAGTGAGAAACGAAAAAAAGAAGGAAAAGAAAAAGGGGGAAGAGAAGAAAGGAGGTGGGGAAAAAAAAATAAAAGAAAAAACAAAACAGAAGCGCGGGGAAAAAGGGGGGAAAGAAAAAAAAAAGTACACACACACAAATGTAAATAAGGAAAATGGAAAGAAAACAAAATAAAGGGAAAACAAACAAAAATAATGAAAAAAGAGGAAATGATGAAGTAAAGAAAAAGAGCAAAAGGGAATTACAGGAAAAGGAAAAAAAGTGGAAAATAAAACAACAGAGAAAAAAAAAGAAAAAATTGAAAAAAAAAACCCAGAAAAATAGAGGAACAAAAAGACGAAAAAGAAAGATGAGAACACAAAAGATAAGGAAGTAGGGGAAAAAATGGAAAAAAAAAGACAAAATAACGAAATCAGAAAAAATTTAGAAGGGAAAAAAAGTGGAAAGAAAACAAACAAAAACAAGAGGACAAAGAGAAACTAAAGAGGAACAAATCGAGGCGCAGCTCACAGCTGCCCAGGAGCGCCGGCATCCCCACGGCCGCGGCTCCCTGCGCCCCATCCCCCGGCAGCACACGGAAGGGCTGCGGGATCGGCTGCCCCGGGCCAACCTGCTGCACAGCCTCGGACGAACCGAAGTCGATTGACGTGGATTTTGACACTGCCACTACACAGAACTGTCAGTGATGGGCGTGAGCAGGGCTCAGCGTCACCCAAAGGAACAGATGGTGACGGCGGTTTGACCGTGGCTCTATTTGACCACCATCCCTTTAAGCTCAGCGTCGATGCAGCCTACAGCCCACAGGATGGACGGGAATCGGGTCCTCTGCCTCCCTGGAGCCCCAGGGCACAAGCAAGGCGACGTGGACACCCCAGCCCTGATCCTCGTGGGTTGGCCGAGGTGAGCGACCCTCGAGGGCCATCTTCAGTGTCTTCCCATGACGCAAATCCCAGTTAATGAGTAGTGCTGGCATCACGGTGCTGAGCCACCTCCGGCCACGGTTCGGGGTCAGCGGCAGCAGCAGTGGGGCTGCATGCTTGGGCGCCTGCCCTTCCTGCCTGGGTTAATGGCAGAGAGGAGGCAGGAGGAGGCTTGGTCATCACGGCATCCCAGCAGGATGCAAGAAAATGAAGCTTTGATGGGGAGCTGGCAGCATGGAGGTTCAGTTCAGAGATACTCAGGGCCCCAGCAAAGCAAGAGGAGCAGCCCTGCGGGGCACCGCAAATGAGACCAAAGAGCATCATCTGTGCTGCAGTTTATTCTGCAGTTGAACGTGAAATCCAAGTGCTCGACTCTAACCAAGGGCACAGAGCAATCTGCTCCTCCACACCTGCCCTTGTCCTGTGCAATAGCCAACTGCACCTAGTCCAAGATGTGCAAACCTGAGCACAAACTGCATCAAAATGCATCGGCACGGTGCAGCTCCGGCCCTGAGACACTGCAGCAAGGCCACCGCTGCCCTCCTCACAGCTTTGCAGGGCAGGTGCAGAGAGCAGCGAGGTGGCGGAGGGGCAGCTTCTGCCTTCCATCCACCAGGTCACAGGATGAGATGACAGACTGCAGTGCTTGGCTGTAGGCTGGGAGGGAAAGGGAGCAGCAGTGTTACAAGATGAGCATTTCACTGATTAAAAGCTTCAGGCTTCTCATGCAAGAAAAACACTGTTTTTTTGTTTGCTATTGAAGAAAAAAAAAATAAAAATAAAAATCAAGATGCCTGTAGTTTTCCACACTCTTTTTACAACCTACAGGCTATACAGCCACCTGTAGGATCCTCCTTACAGAGCACTATTGTCAGCCAGAGGTTTCTATAAGGCTTCCATTTCTACAGCTTGGAAAGCCACCTAGCGGATGACTCCCAATTACTCAGCCAGGTGTTTGGCCGAGATCAGAGCACTCTCACATGAAGAAGATTTCCATCGCTTTCTTACAAGCAATCTCCCAAGAGCAGATTTGGCATTTAAGCAGAGCACTACAAAAGCCACTGGGTTCCCATGTCCTTAACCAGTTTGTTTGTTCTCCCCGTCAACATTACAGCAGTTAATTAACGCTCTGCCACAGCGGTTGGCATTTTGCTGATGATGCCATGGAGCTCACTGAAGAGACAAAGGAAGAAGGGACTGGTAAGGAGCAGCCAGGCACCCGGCTCCTCCCCACGCACCATGCCTGAGCTGCCCCAGTCTTGCATCAGGCAAGCCAGCAGCTGGTGCACATCTGTGCAGTTAAGGTGTACCTGAAGCACAGAATGAATGACATCTGGCCTGTTTGATTTCTCTCGGTACGGTCAGACCCACACCCTCAGCAGGGTCTGTGCCATCTCCTCTTGAGATGCAGGAGCTCCTACCTTTGTGGTTTTTGTAGAAGATGCAGTTGTTGGCACAGGTATCAGGGTGGGACTCCCAGAAGTCAGAGCTGCAGGAGCACAGGGGAGGCAAGTTGATGTTGTACAGTTTCATCTTCTCCTTCACCTCGGCTCTTAAAGCTTCGACATACCTGCAAGGCACAAAGCAGTCACTTAGGCTCAGCACAAGGAGCAGAGGCCCAGCTGTTGCCAGCTCACCTTGTGTACTCCTTATTTCGCTGGTCTTTTTGCTTGACCTTGTTAAGCCTCCTCTCCTCCAGTTCAAGCTGGGCCAGAACTTTGCAGACACCATCCCCCAGGAAAGGTTTTTGCTGCTTAGCCACCTCCTGCATCCTCTGCTCCTCCACCTGGCGCTGGTTCTCCTTCTTGCTCTTAATCCTGCAGGCACAGAGAGCTTTCACTGACCTCCTCAGACGGGGAAGAAGATTCCCAACATGACCTCCACACCAAGACAGGTGCTGGACCACGAATACCCACAGTGACACACACTCCTGTTCTTCAAAAGCCTCCCGAGATGCTCTTCCACCCTTAAGAAACTAAGAATGGTGCCTGAGGTCCTTTATACCCACCCAGAGAGCAGCAGTTCCTGGGGACAATTGCTCAGCCTTCCCACGTTTGATTTCCTCAAGCTGGGCAGTTTGGACTCTGCTTTAAGCAGTCCTCGCAAGAAGTCAATGACAAGGAAAATAAGGCTGCAGAAGCACAACAGAAAAACTCCAAGGATCTCATACCACCTCTGAACGGGCTCCAAGAAGTTAATTTTTCCTTTTTTAACTAAACCTTTCCCCATTGCCTCACTCTCCCTTGCACCTACATGGCACCACAACCCCTTTCACGGAATCTGGATTGTATAACTCAAAAACTGCAAAGCACATTCCCTTGAAAGTGGCAATTACAAAGCACAAAGACTTTAAACCAAAGCATGTGCCATTTTATTCCCGCTGATGAGTCCCAAATGTTATCACATATTACACCCTGATCTCTGCCAAAAGGCATTCAGAATATCAAAGCTAGGGAGAAGCCAGGGGAAGGAAGCATAATCGAATGGGACATTTAGATGTTACTCTATTTGTTGGGTCAAATACGAATGCTCAGAATGAAAGCACTGAAACCAAACTTCTCTTGTCAAGTTATAAACTCTTTTTTATGAAGTGGTAATAGTGCCTTAACTACACTGCCATAAATCTTCCGCTATACAAACCAAGGCCAAGGCCAGCTTAGCATTACACAAAGAAATTGCAAAAACAGCTTTTTTTTTTTTTTTTTTTTTTTTTGCTGAGCAGCTTGCAGGCCCAGCAGAGCCCCTGCAACTACGAAAAGAAAAGAAGGGAAAAAAAAAGATCCATCAGTAACTATGAGGTCCCTTGCATTTCACCAGCACTTGCAGGGCAAAAAGTGCCTCCAAATCTCTGAGCACCAATTTAAGTTTCAGGAATGTGGCTGGAGAAACATTTCTTTGCAATTTCTGTCCAAAAAATGACCACCAAAAAAATACCAAGACCTCACGCTCCAGGACGCTGCACTGCAGCAGGCTGGAGTCACTTAAGGGCTGGAGCATTTCTGCTGCCTGCTGGTCATCCCCTCAGATTGATTGGAATTGGCTGCAGGTGGCAGCTGGGCTACACTCCTTTTTTGAAACTGTGCTTAAATTGAATGGAATGGCCAAATCTTGCCCTCACAGCCTGGTCCCACAGAACCAGAGTCAGAGCACAAGGAGATCAGGGAGACGTGTTATTTTATGCCAGAGCAAATCAAAGACAAAAATATGGAGCATCTTTCTTCTTTTAGTGCGAATTTGCAGAGCTTCTCCTTAAGGACTCCCCTAACGGGAAAGGTGACCCAGTCACCAAAACACAGAGAGACTTTCATGTAGATACTGAGTTTTTCATTCTGGGAACAAATGCTAAAATAAGTTTTTATTATGCTATACAAATGTTTATAGCTGTTGGGGTGAAGGGTCTGATATAAAAATCCAGAGAAGACTGGCTTAAGAACAATGCCAATCTCACCCCAATGTTTCTGACAGTGGCAGCAGCACGAGGGCTGGGTGTTGGTGTCCCAGGGAACTGCGCTGCGGCGAAACGCGTCTCTCCAAGCCTGACACCTCAGCTCCCAGCTCCCCCCAGAGCTGCACGGGGACTCACAAACTGAACAGAGAACTGTTGGGTGCCTCCAAAGGACTCAGCACAGCCTGTGGGTCTCTGTTCCTGTTTCAGGTGAATGAAACCCACCTGAGTTAATGGTTTGTGCACCAACACAGGAAGGGCTTCTCTCAGCTGACTTCCTGATTCATCTTTAAAAGTTCATAAAGAGGCAAAGGAGTCAGAAGAGGTGCTATCATGTGGTGTTGGAGTCTCCACAAAGCCTCCATGCCCTGCAGGGTGGGCTGCAAGGGGCACGTGACAGGGTGCTGCTCACCACACGCACTCACCCAGCAATCCTCCTCTGCCGCTCCTTTTGCCTCTGCCGCTCTTTCACTTGCTCTCGCTCGGCACTCATGAAGAGACGCCTGCACCGCAGGTACTCGATCCGACGCTGCAGGAATGAAGGTGCAGCGTTGAGAAAAATGCCTTGGAGCAGACTCAATATTAGGTAGTACAGACACTCAAGATTGACTTCTGGAGTTTGAGATCACCAAGATGGAATCCTCACTCTTTCTCCAAAGGATCCTCAGAAGTCGCTTAACAGCCAAGGACTGAAGAAAGAGATGGAGAGATGAGGAAAGGAGAACCAAAGCATCACGGAGCTCTGGAGAGCTTCATGGAGCACTGAAGAGCTTTGTACCAGTGCTCTCTGACTGATCCTCCTACGGATAAGGAATCTCTCATCTGAACTCTTGCTTTCCTCCTGGAAAAAGTCCTATTTCCCACCTAATCCCACTAAAGGAGTGTGGTATAAACAACAGTGCACAACCCCAAGCTGAACTCACCACATGCAGAACTGCAAACATTCAGTATTTGGGCTTCAGCTTAAACCCACAGCTGCAGCAAGGGGGAGGAAACCTGCTGGCTAAAGCTTACAGGCAAAGCGCTCCCACCTGAAGGGGAAGCAGTCAGCATGCAGCATGCCTGAGCCCCATGATTCCAGCAAGCTCAAGGCACAGTCTTCCTCATCAATACCAGGAGCTTTGGGCTGAGGGTGTTCACCCTGTTCTCTGCAGAGCCTTGCACAGCTGGATGTAAAGGCACAGGAGAGATTGGCAGGCTGAAAGGACAGAAAGCTGGATGGAAAAAAACCACATGGAAGATCCTGCTGCAAAACCAGTTATCTCAGAATGAATCAGAGCCAAGAAGATACAAAGCAAGGGGCAGAAGGAACCAAAGGGGGGAAGGAACAGTCTGACAAACCCCAGCTGCTGTCACGACTTCTAGAAACCACAACTGAATTTCTGGATCAGCTTGTTAGAAAATGCACATAAAGAACAAAAACACAATTTATTCAAAGTCCTTTTGAGTTTTAGGCTGTAGACTACAAATAAGTTGGGGGGAAAAAAAAAAAAAAAAGAAATGTTCAAGTCAGAAGGAAGCAGGAAAAAATAAGCCATTTTCTTAAGGGATCCAAGAGAAGCAACCTCTTCACCTCTCCTGCATTAACATGAGCCAAAGTGTTGGCCACACATTGGTCCTGGTGATTAAATCAGACCCTCAGCACGCTACAGAAAGAGGCCAGATCCCATGAGCAGCACACAGCAAACCCCAATAAGCTTCAGCCACTCCTGAATTGAGTCAAGCAGCACTGCTCTGCTCAAGCAAAGGGCCAGCCAAGAGGAAGGAAACTCCCTGCCTTGTGCTGACCAAGCGGAGCAGCTCACGCGGAGCACAGCCAAGCTCCTGCAAGCATCAGGGCTGCAGCCTGAAAGCCACCATCCCTCCTGCTGTGTGCTGATATGCAGGGAACCTTTTATACTCCCAGCCTCATACACAAACAAGATTAACTGGGGCTTTGTTCAATTTTTTTCTTTTCTTTTCACTGAGCATTTTTGGCAGCTCCTCCCTCTCTCTCCATGCAACTGCAGAGAACAAATCACAGCACCTCACAGCCTGTATTTCGCAAGGTTGAAGGAACCAAACCTTTTTTCCTAAAGCATTTTTAAGCATTTTTGCATCATTCAGATCCCAGATACTGTGGGAACAGCAACTAGTGTTGGCACATAGGGTCACAACAGACTTAAAAAAAAAAGAAAAAAAAAAAAAAAAAGGAAGTTGGTGGGTTTGCTCAAGAAACCATCAGCACTGACAAACTCAGCAGATGCTTCGTGCACCACTGCTGCTCCAGAGGCTTCTTCTCTGAGCCAGCAGCATCACCTAGCTCCCATGCATTTTACTCCTGAAACAGACACAAAACAATGAGCACTTAGCTGCAGCAGACAAACCTGCTTCTTGCTTTCCTCTTGGTCTATGCCAGCCCACAGGACAAGGGGAGCTCGACAACCAAGCGTCGTTCTCTGCAGAGACTCAGGTGAGCTAAAATCCTTCGCTGATCCATCAGAGAACTGAAAGATAACAGGAGAGCAGCATCAACCTTCCTCTTTCCTCCAGAAAGTCCTCCAGGCTGGAGGTGGGTCCTCTCTGCATAATCCCCAGAGTAACACTGGGGACATTAGCTGCACGCAGGATCACTTCAGAAGGACAGCATCCCACATGAGGGACCCACACAGAGCAGGGAAGTAGTGAGGATGAAGGAGCAGCAGAGATGGAGCACCTGAATGCCATTCCCTGTTCCCTTCCACCACTCAGGAGGAGGAGGGTGGATGGGAAGGCAAGTAATTTTAGTTTGCTTTTAGCTCTCACTACTTTAATCTGTTATCAATAGGCAATAAATTACATTCATCTCCTTACATCAAATCTGTTTTTCCCCATGAAGACTTATCAGTGAGTGACCTCTGGGGCCCTGGGCAGCCTAGTCTGGTATTAAATGGGGAGTTTGGTGGCCCTGCATGTGGCAGGGGGGGTTGGAGGTTCACAATCCTTGAGGTCCCTTCCAAACCTGGCCATTCTGTGATTCTATCCTCATCTCAACCCACGAGCTGTTTTTTCCATCATATTTTCTCACCCTGCTCTGTTGAAGAGTGGGAATGACCGAGCAGAGGGATGGAGCTCAGCTGCTTATCAGTGCCACACCACTCCAATGGGTTGGCTTCTCCCCATCACCAGAGAGAAGACATGTTCTGCATCTCCATGTGGGAGCATGCAGAACAAAGCTTTGACAAAACTCTTCTAGAGGTACCCTTAGACTTTTCTGTTTCAGTCCAAATAAAGATTCATAAAACCCTCTCACCTGTTGAACTTTCATTGTGAACTTCATGAAGAGCAAGAAAACAATAGCAACACAGGGAAAAGTGCAGAGGACAACAGACAGCATCTCCCCAAACCCTCTGCCTTCTTCACTCCACTCAAGGTATTTGTCAAGTCAGTATTTCAGCTGGACCAGCCACCAAACAAAAGGCACATACTGCTTCAGCCATATCGTATTTGCTAACTATTCCAAGTAATCCAAAGGGCAAAACATTTCCATACCTCAGATGCTTAATAAAGCTGCCTGAAAACAGAAAACCCATCGATAAATACATTAGTTCCCTTCTTGGGAGCATGCACGTTAATGGTGCTCCTAAGGATGAGCGATCTCGGCTCATTCCTCTGACTAAAATCTTCTGTTTTTTCCCCTTTTAACAGAGGATTCTGGCCAGTTTGATGCATGCACACCTCTCCCATCCCACCACTGCCTCCAGCAGGGCAGAAGGACACAGGACAGCTGCGTTCCTGCTGCCCCAGCCTGGAGCTTGATTAAGCACCCAGTGCAATTGCACAGTGAGTCTCAGATTTCTGCTGAGCATGAGACAACTGGCATGATGAGGCAGGCGCACATGAAACCATTTTGGAAGCCGCAGCGCTCAGATCAAAGCCATGAGAGCACAACGTCAAAACGATATGGCTGTTCTAAGAGCAGGAACAGAGCTCTCATTACACTTACCTACTAACAGGCTCCAAGCACTTAAAAACGGTGCTCTTGTGCCTACAGATCAAGATACAAGTTCCTGTGCACCTTCTTGCAGAGCCCTTGTGCGGTGCACGCCACAGAGCCTTCTCCAAGCCACCGATCTCACCTTGCTTTCACACTCTTTGGTCTTTGTTGACCAGAGGTGACAGCAGGCACAAGCTTGCCAGGTGTGAAGGTGCAAATGGAACTACAACAGCAGCCTCATTGCCCTTGCCCGAACGTAACCCCCAAAGACTTGCACTTCTTAAGTTCAACTGGCCCAGACTCATGTCTCACTTTTCTAAATTCCACTTTGATGTAAAAATCATCATCTTGCTCAGCCTGATGTGGAGCTGTCGTCTGGTCTTTCAGTTCAGCTGGAAGATCGTGATGTCCTGCTAGAATAAGCTCCTCGTTCTCACATTCAGTGGACACCGGGGCACACAGCACTGATTCCTGGAGGAGAGAGGAGGAAACGTGAGGTTCAAATGTGACTGCTTTAGGTGCAGAATGCAAAGGCAGTGTCCTTGAGTAAGGGTTAGACATACTTTTAACCTCAGGGCACCTGCTCTGAGAAGCTAGTTGAGATCTGGCAGGCAGCAATGCAATGTATTCAAACATCACCGCAGGGCTTAAGAGCCAGAAAATCTAGCAGGGTGGCTCCTAACTACATTCTCACCAACTGCAGAAACAGGGACAGAAGTGTGTGGGGTGATGGAAAGAAAACACCTTTACACCTTTCTAGGCAACACTTCCTGACTGCAAGGATGTGAGGTGAGCAGGATTGCTTAAGCGACGCTCATTCTGTGCTTGTTCAGATGGTAAGTGGGCAGGCTCCTGAAAGGGTATTAAAATATTTTGAGAGGCAGCAGATTGTTTCCTACAAACTAAAAATCAAAATGCCAGAAGCAAGCTCTGAGCCAGATTTTTTTTTTTTCCTTGCTATCCCTTCAGCAGGATAGAAACAGGGACAGGAAGGGAAGAGCAGAAGTGCTTGCAGAGTGAATCAGCAGGAAGAATGTGGGTCAAGCCAGGAATCGCCCAGGATGGTTGTGCTGCTGCAATACATGGGGCATGGAGGGCAGCCTGGAGCCAGAAGGAAATGAAACTGCAGAGAAAAAAAACAAACGTTTGGGGAACAATCAGCTGGGGAAAAGAATTCAGGTGCTATCATGCTGGAGACTACAAACACTAAAGACAAAGCAACGAAAGGCATGGTGAGCAGGATCACCCGGAACACAGGACCAGTAATTTCCACGCTATTGTAATCTAGATATCTGCCTGGGAAAGACATGCAGCAGGAAACAGACCAGCAAGATCTCTGAAAAATGTCTGACCTGAAAAGAAATCCCTGGGACAGACCAGCAGTGGTTTCAGGAAATAGACTTCTTGTTTAACAGTCACAGGGAATGCAAGTCTTTACTGGGAAGAAGGAAAAACAAAAGCAAAAGGTGGAAAACGGGACTGAAAAAGCAGATGATCCAGTAAGCAATGCTAACTGAACAAGTATAAGCTACTCTGCCCGAGTGGAGAGCCACGATGCATAGCGAGACAAACCTGGCTCAGCTCCAAGCTCTTTTGGTGCCCATGATCAATGCAAGCACACAGGAAATGGAGCATGGGTCAGATTACAAAAAGAATCACGTAGGAGACAACAAAAGCACACAGGGACATAAAACAAGTGCCACAAAGGCCAAGGCTGTAAGTAAAACAAGAGACATCAAGGTAACAAGAAATCAGGCTTTCAGTAGGGAAGGGACAAGGAGAGGGACAGCTATCAGAGGACACCAGGCACACCACCATCTTATGCTTGTGTGCATCAGCCTTCAGCCAAAGCAGCATTCTGAGCTAGTAACAGCAGCAAGGAAAATCCGGGACTAAACTTGGAAGGAGAAAAGTCAGAATATTCCTAGAAATTGAAACACTGCTTTTGTAAGTGTGTAGGACCTGCCCCAGGCTACCTCCAGGACTGGCAGACAAGCTGGTAGCAGCCCCCTCAGACACAAGAGGAGATCTAGATCCTGAGGAATGGGCACACGTCTCAGTTTTAGCCCAGCTTTTGACATGGCCTAATTCAGCACTTTGGGAAGGAAACATCTATTAGGTAAAACCATTAAAAGGACTTGCAGTAGGATGACAAACACTATCAAGACTCGGTCACACCGGGTTTGCTGAGAAAGGAAAGGACTAAGTGGGCACTGCTCAATAATTTCATTATCAGCCAGGGCGATATCAGCCTTGATAGCATTCGCAGACCCCATAACCACGTGAAGTTGTAGAAGTGCCAGAACAGTTTAAATGCTCGCATCCAAATGAAAGAGACTGGATGGAGAAGGCAGCACAAGGAAGTTCAATCAGGACAAACAAAAAGGAAGAGCAACAGTTCATCAAGGTGTTAACTGCAACAGCCTTTACCCCCGAAAAGGAGGGAATAAGCTGCTGTCTTAATTATGACCATGGAAACCAGGCGTGTATGCAGGAAGAAAGATTCACATTAACAAAAGACCTCTTTTCTATCTTGGAATAATACGAGAAAGCAGTGCAATGAATTAACATATTCACTCTGGACTAAAGTTGTCTACAAAAGCTAAGAGCGCCTTCTTGTCAGAGGTTTTAAGGAAGCACAGATCAGCCTTTTTCTGCAGCTCAGGTAAGGGTGCATGTGGTGACCCGCAGTCTCTCCCAGACTCGTTCCTCACTGCTGTGGACAACCCGTGTGACTCGCACACCACACATCCCACAGCCGCTGTCTGCTCCAAGGGCCTGCATTGCACAGGCTGTGTTACTCATGTCAGGATGCAGCACCAACAGCTAAGTAATGTTCTCTCTCCATCTTGCTGAGCATCGAGGACTTGAGTAGAAGCTACATGCGGTGCTTGAAATAAATACAAGTTCCTTGAGCCATAATTACAGCGTTTCTGCAATTCTTGTTCACAAAGCTAACTTTCTCAAACAGACACCCAATAGTACGGAGCAGGAAGAGTCAGACCAGCCCTTACATAAAAAGGCATTTTATAGATAACAGCTAGCCAAAATGCACTTCACCTTTGATGAACCCGAAAAGAGAAGGGAATGAAGAAGTGCAAGACGGGCAGGAAGCTGGCTCCAGTGGAGGCAATGAGACAAAACAGTAGGCTGGGCTGCTGCTAGCATTCTCCAGAACTTGCAGATGGGCAAAGTACATCAGTTAAAAAAAGGACTTGGCATACAAAGCAGGACACAGTTATGCCAGTAGCTGTGGCATAAAGCTGATCTTGAGCAATCAGAACAGGATGAAATTCAACAGCACAAAAGGTCAGGCACTTGGGACTAATCTTGTTATGCGGCTCCTATGTTCTTAGCGCTCTGAGAAAAGGAGATGCATGCCAACAACTGTCTGCCGGAAGCCAGCCCTGAATGAGGAAGGTCCTCCAGGTCTCTGTCACGTTCACAAAACAGACTGCTGCAGTAAGAGCAGTTGAAGTTTGCTGAAGGGCACACAAGGGGTGGGCCGATCACCGCATTCCTCCCAGATCCCCAGATTACAATCTAAGCCTTTAAAATATTATTTAAATTCTGACTTCCTAGTTTATCTTTCATTAATCTTGCAAACAGAGGTGTTTCCACCCACTGTCCTGCTGCCTTCTCTGAAAGGTGGCTGCAAGAACAGAAACATCCACGCAACAGAGCCCTCGGGCCCTGCTCGTCCATGGGCAGGTACGTCACCACCAGGGTCACAAAGCCACAGATTTTGCTGAAGAACCTCCCCGAGTGACTCTTCCGGTTCGCAGTTCGCACCAGCCCTGCCCACGGCCTTGCAGGTAACTCACTCCCTGCCCAGCTGCCCCACTCACATCTTGCCTCTGGCCACGCGTCCACGTGCCGCCGGGGAGCTCTGGGGCCTCCATGCCCTTGGGCACTGTCCGACAGGATGCCAGCCTGCGCCGGACTTGTCTCATGGCTCTGCTGAGCTGTCGTGAGGAGGACAGAAGGATGGACGCAAGTCAGCAGATGTCCTCCAGGAGTGCTGCACCAAGGAGTTCATTTACATGAAGGAGGCATCCCAATGGGCCCTGCTCAACACCAGCTCCTCGATAAACACATTATAATGTGCCAAATGCACCATAACCACTACTGAAAACACGACAGTCCCTACAACACATTCGCCGAGATTTCAGGGTCCCACACAGTCCATCTGCAGAACACACGCTCAATGAGGTAGCACCATCTAGTGCCTCCTCTCCAACATGGCATCCCAGCACAGCAATAGGTCACAGCTGAAGATTTGCAGCAGGTTTTAACAAAAATTCACTGTATCTGCAAGCAGCGGGGCAAGTACAAGTGTCCTACGGAGCAGTACACCAACATTTGTTAAAAACAAGCATAAGCCAATGCTTTGTTCAGCATAAAATATATAAACATAATAGGCAAGTGTTGTAAGAGGGTAGAAAACAAAACGTCGCCCATTTTCCATCTTAACCCTAAAGCACTCAGCACAATGGAACAGGGGTGGAAAGGATGAGGGTGGATGGGCCCCACGCACCTGGGCAGCTTGCTGCTGGAAGGGCTCGCTGGGCACTCCGTGCTCCTCCTGCTGTGCCAGGGCAGCAGGGCTGCAGATGGCGGGCAGGGGGCGGCTCCGGAACACACACGTGTTCTTCTGGGGGGTCTGCTGCAGCACCGAGCCCAAGCACTGCACGGCGAGGTTGCTCTCCTTCTCTGTCTGCCAGGGTAAAAAGCCACGTGCAAATCTCCAGTCATCATCTCCCACCTGGCTGGCACATGCTTCCGCAGAAGCTCATGCTGAGCTTACAGGATCGCACCCTCCTGCGGTTAAAACCAGGACTCTAAAGAACCACAAGCAAACACCAGCAGCTTGGCAGCTCTCTGCTCTGAGTGGTTCTGGCAGTAACCTGAGGATGTTCCCACTGGACCGTGCCTTCTCATCGCTGGAAGCAGCCCAAACACCCTCAGGGTGTCCAGAATTGTTGGTATTTCAGTACTTCCCTTTCTCACTGTACAGTGAGTTTCTGGCAACCATCACTGGACTTTAAGAGGAGGAAGGATTAAATAATACATTCAAAGGATCATCTAAAACAAGCTCTTGGAGGGAAATGAGAGTATGTCATGGAATTGCTGCTTGGGAATTGCTATGTGAAGAGACTAGCAGAAACATGCTGCTTTCCTCTGACACAACCAGGAGACACCTGCACCATTCACAACTCAGCCTGGCTATTTTTTAACACTCGAGATCCGAGGGGTCAGCAGGACTTTGTTCTCTAGATATTGCCCCAGAGAGCCAGCGACCTTTCCATTGAAACAGAAGGCTCAGTGCACCTCCAGCATCAGAGCAAGCCAAGGTGTTGGGCTGCCTTACTTGTGGGTTTGCCCCTTGCAGCAGTGGTGCTGGAGCCACAAGTTTCCTCTTACTGATACCCTAACTTGGGGTTGATAATGTTTTTTTCACCAGTTTAGAGGGACGCTGCTTTGGACGGCAGAGAGAAGGAGCTGCTCACCGCCTCACAAGACCTCTGCAGCTGCTGCTTTCTTCTCATCTTGACCTGCTGGTTCACCCGGCGCTTCACCTCTCCCTGGAAGTGCCTCAGCCTCATCGCCTTCCTCCTCTGCTGCTCCTTCAGCTCCTCCTCAACCTGAAATGCTGAAGTCTGGAAGAGATGAAAGCAGATTTCACGTGGTTTTGCAACACTGCAGCCCACATCCCTGCCTCCCCTCCAAAGACCTGCAGCAACAGGCCAGATAAGCAGCACCCAGTGAGCTTCATAATAATGTTTTATTTCAAGTGTGCAAAGTCCCAGCTTGGACAACGTATACTGGATTGCTACTGGCTAGAATCAAATCTAACTAGCCAGGTGCTGTTACAGAGCACACACGCTTCCTCCTTTGACCCCATGCACAGAAAGGAAAAATAAGAGCATAGCCTGATGCAGTGACTCCTGATCACCGTTCCACAAACGGATGCTCAAATATTCAAAGCCAAAGAACGGGGCTGGCCCAGGTCACATTAATGCTCTGTGCATTTCTCACTGAGTGTCTTGCAAGAGCAGTGCTGGACACATATCAAACACTGCAGACCACAGCACAGGCAGAGCTACTGCTCTGACAGTGATTTTACCATCCAAAGTGAAAGATTAAAAGGAATGACCTAGAAATTAGGTTTTCATAGTTCCCAGTTGAAGCCACAACAGAAAATCCTGCTAACACTACCAAGGCTTAAAGAAAGCCAGCTCCATTTCCTGGCTGCCAGATAAATAAGTCACTGGGCAAAACCCTGGAAAAGGGATCTGCAGGGGCAGATTGTCACCAGCTGCAGAGTAATTCAGTTTTAATTATTTAGATGCTCAGCTTTATACTGCTTTACATCAAACACAGCTTTGAGGAAGAGATCGAAGGGCAATAAGTGGAGCCACTGTAAGCAGCTGACAGACAGGGCTGTGGGGTTGGTATGGGTTACATCCTACCACCCACCACATACTTTTACAGCCTCAAATCGCAGGGATGGCTGCACCCCATACCTCAGTGCCAGGAAAACGAATGGCAGCAGGACCCCATTGGCACAACCACAGCATGAAGGCAGGCAGAACTCCACACTACTAGCAGCACTGAAGATGCCATTTACAACTCGCCATGCTCCCTGCTGGCAATCTCATTAGCAATGCTGATTGAAGGCATTCATTTAATTTTTTAATACGACCCACTGCTGTAGGCAGGTGTATTAAACAAGCTTCAATAACCTCACACAACTCTGCCCACACCTGAAGGCACAAGGGCAAAGGGGAGGCAAGAGCACAGCTGGCGTGTGGCAAACATGCAGAAGGTGCTCTGATGCACTGCAAAGGCTCAGCCCCCAACAACGACCAGCAGCTCTCAGTTGGCTTCAAAACCTGAGCCCCAGGAAGGCTCCAGCTCATCTCAAAGTTTGGCAGTGGAAGTTGCATGAATACAGAGACAATTCATTTCCATATATTATCTCAACCTTTCAGAATTTAAATTACAATATGGAAATAAATCATTGCAGAAGCACAGGAGCTTCTGTAACATTTTGACATTAATTAAAGGGGACTGAACTCATCATCCTATACTTAATGCATTTTTAGTCCTCTTACAATAACCCACAAAGCAGAAATCCCTGAGATAAGCACCAGAGAAGATTTTCTTCAGTATTTCTAATGGATGTACTTCAGAGGTGTGCTCAAAACCCTACAGCATTTCTTTATTTTAAATGAGTAACTTGGAATAAAACCTCTGCTCACAAACATCCTTTAGGCACAAACAGAGAGGTGGCAAACAATACAAAGAGAACTGGTAGGGGGCAAAATGCCAGTAATTGTTAGCTTTGTTACCTATGGTAGAGGTCAGCTGCCAATAGCAAGCTACAAACAGAGATCCAGCTAAAGTTACAGTGGGTGGTGTAAAAAAATCAAGTAATCAACAGCAGCTCTCTATAGAATCAGCAAGGGCCTTCATCTGACCGCTTCTGAAATCAACGTTTCTCATAAAAAATGCAGTGTGCAAATTCAGTGCATGTAGAAGGGGGGGGGGGGGGGGCTACACGGGCACCTGGGCCTCTCGGGACCGCATCAGAGAAAATAATTCGTGCTCCCGGCTGCCTGCAGCCCCAGGTGGAGCTCGCGTCACCCCCGCGGCGAGGCCCGGCAGCACTCACGAAGGCACGGCTCTGCTCGCGGGGGCCGCTCTCCACCCAGGCGCCCACCGGGGCCACCCGCAGGCTCCTCTCGCCCAGCAGCGCCCGTCCCGCCCGCGGTGGTCTCGCCGGACGTCCCAAGGCCCCCCGTGGCGCCGGCGGCCGCGCTCCGGAGGATGGCGGCATTCCGGCACGGCTCCGGGCCGCTCCTGAGGAGAAACGGGGGGTGAGCGCGGACCCGCGGCCTACACCGCCATCCCCCGCCCCCGTGCGACCCCTCACTGCTCAGAGACCCCACCGCACCCACAGCCCATCCCCCATCCCCCCTCGCCACCCCGCACAGCCCCACTCGCCCCGCCTGAGCCGTAGACCCCCTTCGAACTCCTGCCCCCCAGAGCCCCACAGCGGACCGCACCAACCGCCGCTTCCGCCCCAGCGCTTCATTTGAATCCTGGCGCCACTTCCGCCCGCGGCCCCGCCCATTTTCCCGCCCGTTTTCCCGCCCATTTCCCCCACGTGCCGCCCTCCCTCACCGTCCCCGGTTCGCGTCCCGCCGCGGGCGGAAAGGGGTGGGGGGTAGAGGGGGGGAGGGTGGTGTGGAGGGTGTGCGTGCCCTGGGAGCCCCCGGGACATCGCTCTGAAACATCCCTGAGCATCCCGAAAGCGTCCCCAGAGCATTCTAGAGACAGTCCAGAGCACGACCCCAAAGAGTCCTCACAGGGCATCATCCCCACAATTCCTGGAGCATCCTGCAGTCGCCCTCGAGAGCATCTCCCCTCAAGCATCCCAAAAGCATCCCCAGAACACCCTCCAGGTCATCCCTCTGAAACATCCTCCGAGGCAACCCACAAACAGCCTTCAGAGCGTCTCCCTGAAACATCCCACAGAGCATCCCAAAAACGCAATCTAAACCCTGAAAACATCACCTACTGGGGAGCACCACCCCCATAAATCCCACCAGGCACCCCAAAACACCCCCGAAACGTTCCTCCAAGCATCTCTGAAGCACCCCTACAACATCAAACGTCCCCCAGAGCAACCCAGCAGCGTTCCCTGGACCATCCCAGAGCATCCCCTCAAAAAGCCCCTCCCAGCACCCCCGGAGCTGCCCCATAGCATTCCCCAAACCATCTCCCAAAGCATCCCCTGAAAGATCCCCCACAGCATTTCACCTCTGAACGTTCACCAACATCCCCCTAAAATCTCCGAAAATCCTCCCAGATCACCTCCCTATGTTCCTCCAAGCATCCATCAGCGCTCCCCCCCAAAAAACTCCCCCAAAATCGCTGAGCATCCTCCAAAGTGCCCCCAACGCCCCCCCAAACGCCCCCAAACACCTCTGAGCATCCCCGGATGCGTTCTGAGCCACGCCGGCAGCCCGGGGCAGCGCAGCGCTGCTGCGAGGAGCTGGCAGCGCTTTGTGGGACGCAGCTCCGGGCAGCCTGCCCCCCTCCCGCTGCCCCATTGAGCCGTGCCGGGAACTAATTGGCACTGGAGCTGGAACGCAGCCTGGAAACAGCAAAAAGGGAGCGCAGGTTGGAGGTGGGGGCAGCTTTGCAAAATGTGACCCCCCCAAAAAATAGCAACAACAAAAAAAGCACAAGGAAATGGGACGTGGCACCCTGCTCCCCAAATCGCACGGGACTCTGCAGCCATCCCATGGAAAGGGGGCAGAAAATTGCAAATCTGGGTGATTTCTCCCCAAGCAAGTGTCAGCTCGGGCTGCCGGGGAGGCGAAACACACAGGGCTCTATTGAGAGTGCGAGGGACAAATAAAAAAAGGGAAAAAAAATTGCCCGGGCTTAGGGCCAGCAGCACGGAGGGACGTGCCCGGAGCGGGACCGCAAGGCAGAGCAGGGCCCCGCAGCCGGCCCGAAATGTGGGGAGCTGTGGGCACCCCGCGCCTGCTGCCCGCCGCCTGGCTCCTGGCTCTGCATGCAGGTAGGGGCGGCTGGCACCGCCTGCGCCGCGCTGCTTTCCGCTCTTTCTTTTTTCGCCGCAATGGGGTGGGACGGAATGTAATGGGGGATTTGTTCGGGGACGGTTAGGGGGCGGTGGGGTGGACGGGTGCTGCTACCTCTCTTGGCAGAGGGGTGGAAAGGGGGAAATCGGGGCTGAAAGATACGAAAAGAACTCCGTTGCAGGAAAGTGGGCTGTGCTGTGGGAGGGGGGAAGGGGGGCGGCCCCCCGTGCTCTGGCAGCAGCTCCTTGGCTTCCCCAGCTCTTTTCTTGCTCACTCTTCACCTTCCCCTCACAGCCCTTTGGTCGCCCCTGTTATCTCCCATTACCCCCATCCCGCTGCAGCTCACCCCAAAGTATCACAAATTCCCTAAATCCCCCCCAGAAAACTGATTCTGGGGACTCAGCACCCCCTGAGGTACTAGCCCCCACCCTGGGCCTGGTGCAGGAAGGCAGCTGCTGTTTTGCACCATTTCTCTGAAATTTGGACCCATAAGTAGCACAGAAGATGTCAGACTGAGGATGCAAAGTGCATCAGTTTTGAACTCCAAAATTTATTGCATGGAGTGGAGGGGGTGGGGTTGAAGAAATAATTGACCTTTTGGGGAAGCATTAGAGTTTTGGAGAGGTTTGTGTGATGCTCTCTAAATCCCTCCCTTTATCCCCCCAAAAACCTGAAAAAACAAAGCAGTGGGATTAAAACAGGCACCCAGTTGTGTTTGAGGGATGGGGCAGGGGTTGCATCCTAGACCTCCAGCCAGATTTTCCCCCAGAATTTCACCCCGCAGTGCCTTTTCAAGGCTGAGCTTCATGGCTGTTGGGGAGGGCGGATGGACGGATGCTGCATACCAATAGGTCCCGTGACTTTCGAGCTTGTTTAAACCCTTTCTTGCTCTGCTCGCCTCCCTCCTCACCCTCCCCAGCTGATTTCCCCTGTTCAGTCTGGTATTTGTTCACCTCTGAGTGATGCCATCTGGACAGAGAATCATGAAGTCCCCAAATTGGTGGAGATAGGAGTTTTGGGGAGTAAACCCATTCTTTATTTTTGTATTTATTTCTTTTTCTCCAAAGAACAGTTTCGTAAGCTGTTTGTTGCTTGCTTTGAGCTCAGCTAGTTTGCATTTCCCCATGGGGTGATGGGGACTGGTGGATCCCCTTGAAACTGGGACACGGGGACTCAATCCCCTTCTCTGTGGCTGTGCACAGAGGGAGGAGTGTTGGCTGCACAAGAGCATCCTCTACAGGGGGTGCAGTGCAAAAATGTCATCCTTGTGCATGCATCTTTGCCACGAGTTGCATCAGACCCACAGTGCACCTTGCAAGGGTTGCATCCACTCCGCTGTGCATTTGGAAAGAGGTTCACCAACCCCACCAACGCACTTCTTGTCAGTACTCCAATGCACTTTGCAAATGATTGCATCAACCCCGATGCAACCAATGCATCAACCCCCTCCAATGCATTTTGCAGAGAGCTGCATCAACCCTTGCAATGCACTTTTTTGAGGCAACGCACGCGTTTTTTAAAAACTCCCTGCAAACAATGGGGGTGCTGCAGTCGAGGGCTTCTTGGGGATGCCTGCCGCAGCTCCGGGAGGGGATTTCCCCTTTTTCGGAGAGCCGGGACGCGGCGCCCGCTGTCTCCCCCCATCCCCAGGTCTGCTGGCGGGGGTGAACATCACCAGCCCGTCGGCACTGGTGCGCGGCACGGCAGGCAAAGCGGCGCTGCTGTCAGTGCGCTACGCCAGCGCCAGCCCCGACAAACCGGTGGTGAAGTGGCAGCTGAAGCGGGACAAACCCGTCACCGTCGTCCAGTCCATCGGCACCGAGATCATCGGCAACCTGCGGCCCGACTACCGAGACCGCATCCGCGTGCTGGAGAATGGCTCGCTGCTCATCAGCCCGCTGCAGCTGGCCGACGAGGGCAGCTATGAGGTGGAGGTCTCCATCACCGATGACACCTTCACTGGCGAGAAGACCATCAACCTCACTGTGGACAGTAAGGGCGAGGAGGGTGCCAGACGTGTTCGGGTTTTCCCAACAGGACAGCTTTGTTCTGGGAGGGATTTGGGCAGCAGAGAGTTATGAGGAGTTTGGCCATATGGAGAGATGGTTCTGGCTTGCTTGCAGCCGAATCGTGTCCCCAGTGGGGTTTTGAGGTCCTTTCCCCATCCCCTGGGTCCATCCATGTCCCACAGGGCATTGGTGTCACCCGGGCTCCCATCATCCACAGTCCCCATCTCAAAGCCACAAGTGTTGGTGGCCTCCTCAACAGTGCTAGAGCTCAGCGAGTTCTTCACCCTCAACTGCTCACATGAGAATGGCACCAAGCCCACCTACACCTGGCTGAAGGATGGGCGGCCGCTGAACAACGACTCCCGCCTCCTCCTCTCCCCTGACCAGAAGATCCTCACCATCACTCGTGTCCTCATGGCAGATGATGACATCTACAGCTGCCTGGTGGAGAATCCCATCAGCCAGGGCCGCAGTGTCCCTGTGAAGCTCACTGTCTACCGTAAGATGTGTCCCCACAGCTGGCCATTGCTGGAAGATGCAGCTGGTTAAGCTTTTGGGGGTATTTCCTCCTCACTGCTCTCTCCTAGGCCGGAGTTCCCTCTACATCATCCTCTCTACGGGTGGCATCTTCCTGCTCGTAACTCTGGTGACTGTTTGTGCCTGCTGGAAACCTTCCAAGAAGTATGGCTTGGGGGAATACAGGAGACAAAGGGATCCTTCTCCTAACCTATCCCGTCCCATCCTATCTTCCCTGATTCTATCCCATCCTATCCTTCCCTTCTCCATCCCATCTTGTCGCGTCTCATCCCATTTGCTCCCCTCCCTTGTAATCCTGTTCCATTCTGTCTCATTTCATTCTGTTTAATTCCATCTCATCCCATCCCAAATTGCCCCGTTCTGTCCTTTCTCACCGCATCCCATTACATCCCACGTCACCCAGTTCTGTCCCACCCTGTCCTATCCCATCTCACTCTGTTCCACTCTCCCTATAGCACCATGGTCACCCGTGGCTGTGTTTGGGGCCATTCTCTCATTGGTATCATTACCGTCACCGCCACGGCAGTGACCATGACCATCAGCATCAACACCAACATGACCGTGACCATGACCACCACCATGACTGTCACGGTTACTATAATTTTGACCCATGACCACCATCATCACAGCCTCTGTTCACTCTCCAGACCGAAGCAGCAAGCAGAGCCACCTCCCCC